GAACAACATGCAACACCGCACACAAAACATGAAAACCGCTGCTCACCTCTAACTGGCATGCAAGTGCACAAAAAGACGTAAGCGTCCGCTTCAAGACCTGTACACTCCTATTCTCACTACGTGTTCCTGTACAGTGGTGGACATCCCATATTGACTGTAGGCTGATGCTTGAAGCATCCAATAGCAATTTGGGCTGGCTTCCTTACTTATAGAGTCTCCCCCACGTTGCGCACTGCATCACATGATTGCAGAATTCATGGCAATAGTATCCAACAGAAAAGACGAAGCAGCCCTGTTTCGCCTGTTTAGTCTTGGCTTCCTTGCTGACTGATTGCTTGATTGTTTGGTGGGCGCCTAATCCATTAGAAGGGAACCCCACACTCAAGGATTCCAGGCTCTCCTTTGGAAAGGGTATTGAAACATGGATTTGTCAACTGGATTTGTCAACATAAAATTCTGTCATTAGGTCCGTGGGGCAGTTCTTGGCTATGTTGGCTCAAAAAAATGAGCTGGTTGGCTCCCTTCAGGTCACTTGGTCCTGGCGTTGATTCGGTTCGATCTAATCCGATGGTTGGCGGCGCATGGAATATATGCATAGGCAACAGCCAATAGCAGAACAAACTACAGCACCAAAGCTTGGTGGCGCCTGATTTGATGAATGCGCGGCATCTGTTTCACCGCTGGAAGCGTTGCTTGGCTTTTGTCTGACTTTTGGTTGGCTCGCGGCTTTGAAGTTGGTTGGCTCACTTTTTGGTCTTGGCCAAAGGCGCTGGAGCACGTTGTTCACGCAGAGATCCTTGCATCGAGGCCCACAGCCGCCAGGATGGCCCCAGGTGGAGGCGTAGAGTCGGAAGAGCGACTCCCCAAAGAGTTGTGTGGCCTCGGAAACCGCGGCCGGCGCAAAGCTCCCAAACAAGCACATAAAATACGCCTGTATCATATGTATAAAGTATGTCAAAATCAATATGCATGTATGTGTGACACGTGTATGACACCTATGTATCGTGAAAGGAAGTTTAGAAAGACTTTCTGTGGTACAAAGACCTTCCGTGGTATTGGGATGAGCTGTGCTTCCCCTGAGGAATGACAAACGAGTCTACCCGCATCGCGCGAACTGGGGAATAGCTGCACTTAGAAGACACGTGGCTCTGTGTGCGAAATCAGCTCTCCGGTAGGTGCGAACTTTTCCTGACTCTCACAAAATGGTGTTGCTTGCATGTTTGAGCCTGCGCAATCATCAAACAGTGAACCCTTTGCGGACTTCCTTCAACAACTGTTGGACAAGCATCAAGGGGAAAAATGTGGAAACCCCTTTGCACTTTGCGGGATCGACCTTCAAACCTTATGGTTTGTTGTTGCGTTTTTCTACCCAACTAGCGCATTAGCCAACTACCTAACACGCAACAAGCGGACAAGCTAGTTGGCTACCTTGCCGGTAGTTGGCTTGCCACTTAGCTTTCGCTTCAACTAGCTAAACACACGAGCAGCCAACTGGCTAACTATCGGGCTAGCCAATTCACCAACTTAGCTCATTGGCTAACTGAGCTAACTGGCAAACTAGCTAGCTGGCAAACTAGCTATCGGCTACCTACCCAATTTGCTCATGAGGTAGCTAGCTGAATAGAGCCAGCCGCTCTTGGACCGTTCTGGACGACACCGTCGTGTGAAAAAATCGATGAAGGACTGCCTTAGAATCAGCAGCGGGCGTAGTTTGCAGACTCTATGCCGCATTTGCCTTTTGCTGCGGAAGTGAGTTCGTTGATTTGCACTTGTAATACTGACCCACTGCACGCGTCAGCTGCATTAACAGAAGGAGAAGGCAATGTCTAGTGATTGAATGTGAGCAGGAGGCACAATGGGTTGGGAGATCGCGTGACTAGCATATAAGCTCAGGCGATATCCCCGACAGCACCACACCCTCCCAGAATCCTCGTGGAACGCCCCGGAGCCCACCTCACCGTCGGTGTTGCTGAGAATGCCGCGTGGTAACTTTATAAACAGCGCAGTTGCCCTGATCGGGGCCCGATCGGGTCGGGGCCCGATGGCACAATCGGGGCCTGATCGGGGCCCGACGGCGCAATTGGGGCCCGATCGGCGCAATCGGGGCCCGATCGGGCCCGACAGTGCAATGGTGGCACCCTGGTGGAACGCTGATGGAACACCCTGTTGGAACCCTGCTAAAAAACCCTGGGCGAACCTCAAACCACCCTGACCACCCCGCAGCCCTCGCAGAACCTGGCGGAACCCTGGTGGAACCCTCATGGAACCTTACCTCAAACCACCCGGACCACCCCGCAGCCCTTGCAAATGGTGGAACCCTGGTGGAACCCGGGACCCTTGTGGAACCTCACCTCAAACCACCCCGGACCACCCCGCAGCCCTCGCGGATGGTGGAACCTTGGTGGAACCCTGGTGGAACCCTGGTGGAACCCTCGACCCCGCAGCCCTCGCAAATGGTGGCACCCTGGTGGAACGCTGGTGGAACCCTTGGAACCCTCGTGGAACCTTACTTCAGGGCCGCCCCGGACCAGCCCGGAGCCTATCTGGGCTGAGACCCAAAGCTTTCAGCTGTTGAGGAAAAAAAGTCCGTGCACGCAGGTGGACGCTTTGAGCTATTTTGGAAGCATATGTATTATGTGCTTTTGTTCGAATGGCAATTCGCTGAACAAATGCAAGGGTGACCATCACTGCGGTTTTAGTCAAGACATAGCATTCCGTTGACTACAGTAGATGCAGTGCTGCTCTGTAGGCTAATCTGGTCGACAACAGTGTCCAAAGCGGCGTTCCAAACCGTTGTTAATTTATGCCATTTTACCACTAAGAGAGAAGGTCAATTTGGAGCAACCTGGTGCCAGAAAGCGGCGCTTTTTGCTTCAACACTTCTTTCCCAACTGCCCAATACAAGCCATCTTACGACCTAGTCAACCGCTCTGCATATGATGGCTTGGCAAGCTGAAGCGAGAACTCCTCACTAGCTTGGGTTTAAACATCATGAAGGCACTGAGCCCGACGTAAGCGCCAAGCTGCCAACCATGAACAAATCAACGAAACACCTTCCCTATTGGCCATTTGTGGGGAGGGAACCTTCCTCCAAGCACCCGGCCACTGCGAAGACCAGCGCGCCCGATCCAAAGGCCATGCACCGCGACGTGACCTGCCGACATGCTGGGACATGCGGCGCGGGCATCTCTGCATTTGATCGACTCTGGGATCCCCCCGACAATCAGCACCATCCATCGGGGCAAGACCAACAGTGTTTTCAGAGCTTGAGTATTCGGGGTTGTGGAGTTATAGTCATGTTGGGGGCGCAGCGCCTCCAAAGACTTTGTTTTTTTGGGAAACTGTGCGGCTGAGAAAATACCACAGATCTGACCTGTGCGGCTGCAAGACAACAAAAACATGTAGCAACCTGTGCAGCTGAAACATGGCTGCGGATCTGAGCAGAAGTTTTGCTGAGTTGCAGGCTTCCCCCTAGAGTGATCTTAGAACTGGCAGCCGTTAACGAGCCACCCAAAGCCCCGTCCCTTGTTTTTGCGTGTGCCTGACAGTTTGTAATCAACATCAGACATGCACGCTGCTTGGATCTTCTGTGCGGAATGTGAAGGATTGCTGCCCGCAACACTGGGTTTCTAATGTCAGTGGGAATCAAAGAGGCATCCTGTTGTAACTCATTGGCAGTGATGTTGCTACATGCGACCGGAAGCAGTTGCACGCCTGGGCAGAGACCGGCGCAAGTGCAAGGCCCAGGATGGCGCCCAAGGGAAGAGAGAGCCTCAAGCTTCAACGCTAGCGTTTCTCCGCACTGCGGTTAAACATTGAAAACATGAATCGCACGCTAGAACAACCCGAGATGACCCTCCAACAAAGCACAACTTCCTGCAAAGGATGCTACCAAAAATCATCTACCCTATGCGCCCGCATTTGTTCGAACTTCAAATAGTCATGACCTCCTTGGGTCAAGGAGAGGTCCAAACAACCCTTTTGGCCCCTTGGCCGACTTGAGATTGGCCGGCAAAAGCATGCCTGGAGCAAGCTGTGTCCCTTCAGGATCTATGCTACGAGGAAGTCATGGGTACATCCTGGCAGGCAATACGGGCCACGCTGACATTCACCAACTGCTGCTGGGATCTCGAAAATAGCCAAAAGAATGGCCTCTTGTGGACAAGATCAACCCAAGTGTCCAAGATCGGACGGCCACAATCACCATCTGCGAACGCTTTGGCAGGGTGACCAGACGCATGCTGCACCTGCTCCTTGCCTGGAGTCCTTGTACTATGCAAATACGGTCAATGATCTTCCACCAATTGGGCATCAGGATCCATGCCACAAGTCGTGAACATCAACGGCAGCGTTGATCCTTCACCGGCCTAAGTGACCCAGAAACAGGCCACACTATCAGTCACTATCAGCCGGGCGGCGCGGAGAAGAGCCCAAAAAGCAGCGCCTGCACCCAAAGGGCCGTCATTACGGCGCAAGGCGAAAAGGTGCGTGAGCGGACCAAGGCTAGGCGTCCGTCCCCTTTTTCTGGGAAGTACGCTCAGAAAGTCTGGAGCCAGGGTTGGCATATGCGCTCAAAAAGGTATGGCTGACTGTTCGTGTAAGCACTCCAAGCAAAGCTGTGAGCCAAACATACGCACGGTAATAGACAAGGCTTGGCTGTCTGCAGGGTCGAATCTCGCTCAGGCTATGCAGTTCCAGCATATTGCATCCTCCATATGGCGCATCATGCCAACATCACAAGCAAGTACCCAAGTCTGTCTGTGCAGGTGCACGCCATTCCCTCAAGGGACAACCCTAAACTCCCAGTGCCAGAGCGAGCGGAACAATCATTGGCTCCTGCCATGAAAATTGTTCTGGCTTTGCCCTTTCAACAAATGGATCTATGTTCTTCCAACCACAAGGAAAGGCTTGAAAATTGGAAGAACATTGCTGTACTGCGTTTGCTCTTGCGAACCTCTTCCTTGTTTGCTCTTGCCAGTATCCAAATTGGGCTCCCAGGCGATCCCGCAACGATGGTGCCCTCGTAGCCCGCGTCGCAGGTGCAGCCGCTGGCCACGTTGCTGCCTGAGCCCATTTGACCATTGAGGCACCGGTCTTTGATAGCGATCACAATGGCGTGTGTGTGTTGCCCATGCTGATTGCTTAATGTGAGTATGCAAAACTATCCAACAATATCGGCAAACATTATGTTTGATGTCAGCGTCTAAAAGCATGGCGGCTGCATTGACGGATGACCAATCGAGAAAGACTCAAACATGTACTTCTTTCTATCATCTATCTGAATACCCGGGCAACATTCTGCCTTGGTGAGGTCATCACGCCCCCGTCCGGTCCTTCCCCAGCCTGTGGAATGGACGGGGCAGGACACGTGCTCACACTTGCCGCTGAAGAAGGGTGAGTTCTTCGAAGCTTTGATGGTGCCACTGAAGCCATCATTGCCTTGGGCACAGTGGGAAGGCCATCCGATTGTGCAAAGGCCAACAGAGGTTCAAAGAGTGACCAAATATTGGCAGCGTCTTACTTCTCAGTGATGAAAACATGCAACCTCTACCTGCTACCGTTGCACTGTCAGTGTCGACTCACATAAAGTGCAAAATGACATGGCTTAGCTGCCGGCATGTCCGCGCCCGTCTCCGGATACAGTACTGAATGAGAGTGCTATGTCAAGCTCCACCGACAAGGTGCAAGTGCAGCCACTTGGCACATCCGTGCCCTTGGAGTTGGCAGGGCAAGCGACCTTGGTCACAGCAAAGCCAATCCCAAAGTGGTTGATGGTATTGCTTTCTTATCGAGCATCCCAGCATCCCTTACCAGCCCAAGGACAAAAACACCATGTGAGCCACTGTGTCGAGATAACTCCCAACATGCATGTGCACTTCTCATGCGTCTGCGTGAGAGTGAACTTGCAGGCACTTGGCTGCACCTAAGGAGTTCATCAAAGACAGCAACCTGCTAGGATGCATTGATATGCCACCATGCTCAATTCTGGCAAACAAGCACACTTGCACAAGCTCGTAGATCAAACAAAACCAGGCCGGGGGAGACCAAACCCACAAAACAAAATCCGACAGGGCCCTACCGGGCCACTGCTTTGCAGGCGCCGCTGTAGAAGGGATCTGTCTTGGTGGCGGCGATGGTGCCCTCAAAGCCCGCGTTGCAAATGCAGCCACTTGGCACGTCCTGAAGAGCATCAGGTTGGATAGCTGCAGCTGCAGCATATCAAAGACGACCGCGTGGCTAAAGCACCGCTATTTGCTCTTGAATAGGTAAGTTTGGAGCCAACAAAGCATAGAAGGGTGAGCTCTCGTTGGCACTACAATGCACTAAACGCGATCAATGATCATCAACTGGCCCATGCTAAGTCACCGCAGGGCTTCAGGCTTCAGGGAAGCCGGACAAGAACAGGAAACCAGGATGACTCCGGAGTTAATTTGTGGGGGGCCAGCACGACTGATCTGTGGCACGCACACACACACACACACACACCCAGACACAAACACACTCAAAGCGTCCCGTGACGTCGGTCCTTTGACCATCTTTGGGGGCAAGCTTGGCATACTTCCAAGAGAAATTATACGCATTAGAAAGGCCAAACAGTCACTCCAAACAAGGTGGTCCCGAAATAGTGCGACCATGCACCTGCCACCTATCATGAGAAACACATAGCAGGCACCCGTTTCAGTTGTGATCCAACGTCTCGTGAGTCTGCATGTAAATTTGGAAATGCATTGTTTGCAAGCAGCGCAAGCGGTCGAGCGGATTCCAGGCCCATGCACTACCCGATGGCTTAAGAAAACGGGAAATGACGTCCTTCAAAGGCTCCAGCAAAGCCAGCACCAAGCAAGGGGCACCAAGGGGCACCTTTTGATCTTTGAACCTGCATCCCTCGGTGCCTGCCCTTTCTGCAGATGCTACGGCTTCAAGGCGCAGGTCGGTTTGCTTTCCGAGCTGGAAAATGGCTCTGCTTGTTGGTGTTGCTTGGAGATTGCCGATGCTTGCCTTGAGACTCTGGCTTGTTCAGGTCATATTTGCATATTCTGCAAGAACTGACAATTTCGTGGAGGCAACTCGTGAGGAGACAAAGGCAAAATACTGCCAGGACTAATGAGGAGTTCAACCCTTCCCTCCATCCCTGTCCGTGCCAGTGGAGTGCGCCGGGCAGGAAACCGCCTTGCAGGAGCTGCTGTAGAACCTGTGCGCGAAGCTTCCAGATTTGGACGGTCGAGAGCTGAAGCCGGCGCCAGAGGGATCTCTATACGAAGGTCTGAAGACTTTCGGCTTTCCACTGCAAACAGACAGCCCTTGTTAAGCAACTCAAAACAGCCTGTGTTTCTCTTCAATATTGAAACGAATATTGGCAACTCATCAAGGAATGCCCCAGCATAACAACAAGCAATGCTGCAATGCCACACTGAAAAACAAGCAACAGTGGAGATGCCCAAACCATCCTGTTTGCGCCTGCTGACTGTGTACGCAGCAAAGTTTAAAACGACAAACGACGGAGGTGCAACATGATTCAGCGAGTTCCTGCCAATCACCTGGGTTTCACCATCGCTGAGGCCGGGGCGGGGAGGCGCTCGTGGCAGTGACCGCCCCAGAGTATCCGGCGTCACATGCGCAGCCGCCAGGCACCTGAGAACCGCTCACATTTCGAAGTCGGGGAGGGGCAATCCAACGGATGAACTCCTGAGTCATAGCCAAAACCCAGCAGCAAACGAATCTAGCATGTAAGGAATCGCAAGAGCGGCCGCCTCTAATCTGTAGCTGGGCATGACGGCATGACCTCCGACTATCATCTGATCCATGTTGGCTCTGGAAGAATCTCTGAGTGAGCACGCATGCCAAAGCATTGCTTTGGCATGCCGCCTCTGCCCACGTTGTCAAATTGTCGCCTAAGGCTTCTGAAGGCCACCAAAGGCGCGTCTGCACCGGATGAGTGTGTTGGGCAGGCCACCGCCTGGACACCGAGGGTCGCCCGCTCACCAAACCGTGGCAGGAAAACAGGTTGGCGCCTGGTCATCCATGCCTTGTGTACCAAGAGCTCCATGTGAGGCCATGAGATTGTGCAAATATCTATATATATATATATATGCAATGAACTTGCACAATGCGGTCTCAGAAGGTGTGTCTACCTCTACCCCTTACATTGCGTCAACATGGAGATGTGATTCAAAGAGTCATGCCCAATCCAACTTTTTGATATGTTTCCGGCTACTCTATTGACAGTAGCAAAACCAACTCTGATTCTATGGTGGGCAAGAAGAAGTCTGAAGCACCACAGAGATTCCATGAAAGGGCCCCACCAAGCCTACAAGGATGCGAAGGGATGCCAAGGGTCCATGAAACACAAATCTGTCTCGTCACCTCGTCCCGTCGGGGCAAATCTGGCCTTGCAGCTGCCTGTGCTGCCGCCCTTGCTCGCGGTGATCGTTCCGCTGTATCCTGGCAGGCGCCGGCGCATTGGCACATTGGCGCATTGGCACATTGTGCGCCCCAAGATGTACGGGTGTAGCTGAAAAGTGACCTCCGTATTCGGTGCCTACTCTAACTACCATTCTAAACATTTGCTCAACATAGGATAACCTTGTGAGTAGCCATGCACAGACTGCAATGTCCATTTCGAATTAACAATCGCCCCCTGAAGTATGTGAGGTGGTTCCCCATTCAGGCCGTTGTCGCATCATGTTGAATGTTTTGGCCTTCCACCGAAGTAATCATACCACACACTGGAAGGCTTTGCCCTCCGCCGAACCGGTTCCATTCCATCGTCCGTTTTCGCGGCCTCACCTTGAAGCAAGATCTGCAAGCCTTTGATTTCGTCATGTTGCAACCCACAAGGAGCTTCCAGGCAATTCCTTAGCTTGAAGAACCTGGACACAAGGTGACTCGCTCACTGAAATCTCGGGGTGAATCTCGCATGTACTCTGGCCGCCTTTGCGCAAACCCTACCGTGTGCCTTCCACGTGTTTTGCTTGCGTGGTTTGCTTGCAAATGCAGCAGGATTAATCACAGCGGCAATTAAGGCACATTTGTTGGAAGATGGATGGCTGACTAAACATTGGCTTTGCCATTTCAAATGTGGTTCTCACCTGGGAAAGCTGCAACACCAAAGCCGAATCGGCAAATTAAAATTAGAGCAGTAGGGCCAGTGTGCATCATCCAACGCAAGCCTCTTGTTGTGGCCGGTTGCTGGTCCTCTACAAAGCAAACCCTGAGCTGTTTCCCAGGCTGCACTCATGCCAGTTCACACATGCCGTTGCCGACTTTATCGAAAGGTGAGTGCTGCGTGTCATAGACTTGCCAAGGTGGGTCAAATAACCGACCCTCGGGAGCGCCTGCTTTGCAGGCACATCCGCTGGGCACGTCGGTGCCAGTGGAGTGCTCAGGGCAGGCCACTGCAGCGCAACCATTGGTGTAGTAAGGGCTCGTCTGCGTCTTGGCCACCGACCTATCCCGAGTCTTTTGACACATCTGGCCAAAGGACTGAAAGCTACCCTCACGCGCACACATGCCAAGCAACCCAGAGAGTCGTGACGCTGGCACTAGCATGCACTCTCCCTACCAGCTTGTTATGTTCACTCCATACTGGCATTTAAGAACATTGGGAAATTGCTGGTCTTCGTCGGTACAGAATACTTCTTCCACTTACATGAATTTGGGTGTTAGTGATGCGACAAGACTGGCAGAGGTTTCCTGATGAGGGCCAGGTCCCCAAACACGGATCCTTCCGGATTTCTCTTGTTTGGCAATGCAACTCGGAGCGAGGGCGCTGCCCTCCACCCTCTATACCCTGCGTCACCTCTGCCATCAACACCCGTAAAAAGCTTGTGACTACCACACACCTTTCTACAAGGCAGCAACTCAGCCACATGCCCACCCTTTGCGTCACTTGAACACCTTTTCAAGACTAAACTGGCGAGTTTATACTTGTCGACTCAACAGAAGCAAATCAATAGTCATCGTACCGGCAGCACAACAAAGCTTAGTTGATTTTATTGTTCCCTACTTGCCACTAACAGCGCCACTTGTAGTAGTTAGCTTTGTCAGTATCACCTGATGGAACCCACCTGATGGATGGATGGATGGTATGAACGCTGTGCGCAGCTGTACTGTCAGTACCAGCAATCACAACTTAGGACCGGCAGAATCCTAATTCTTACACCGACTGCATGGACGCAGATTAACTGCTCCCAAATCCCCTTATAGACTCACTCTCCAAATGTGCCCTCGGCTGTTTTGCCAAGGTGCCATATGATTCTCCAAACAATTCTGAATAAATCCAATTCCCCGAATCTATCCAAACTTCTGAATAGCTCTCTTGAGCATGTGGAGAAGCGATGTGGACGCGAGGTAGGCCAGACTGGAAGAAAGGACTCAGGGAGAATGGGAACTCGCAAACAGCACTCAAGCGAGGGGCTTCTCTTTCATTGCCGTGTATAGCAGCAGTCTATGTTGCAGCGACGCCCGCACTAAATGCGCAAACATGCGCTTGATGATCTGAAGGCAACTTGGGAAAAAATGATATTCGATGCATCCTCTACGTCTTTGGATACACATCTGGGTAGAGGATCCTCTGGATACAAGCCAAACAGACCTGTTCTTCAAAGAATTCTCTCCTTGGGCCCAAGACACCCGCTGAAGCCATCGTTGCAGGTGCAGCCCTCCACCACGTTGGTGCCCTTCGAGTTGGCGGGACAGGCAATCGCCTCGCAGCACTTCGCCTGGTGAAGGTCGATTCGGTCGGATGTTGCAAAAAAGAAAAGCCGACTCCGAGTCCAAATGACTTGAGCCCAATCATTGGGAGTGACTTGAGACCTAAGTTACTCCCATTCGGCTTTTCGGCCCTGTCCCCACCTCTGTGTTGCCCAAGGTGTCCTCGGGCTTCGGCTTCATGCCCTTTGGGCAAGTGAAGAGCTTGCACGTGGCCTCGCAGCTGCCAGCGTAGAAGGGTTTGCCTGCGCTGAGGCAAAGAATTGAGTTGTGAGCCCAGTGCTGCTCTTCTGTTCTTCCAAATGTGAGATGGTACTGAATTGATGGATCTAAAATAGCAAGCAAAGAAACATTGCTAAGTCGTGGGCCCTGAAGCCGCCCTTTGATGATAAAAAATGCGATGGTTTTAGTGTGAATGCCGGACACGCCCCTGTGAGCCACAATGAATATCCAAGTTCTCCCTCATCCATTTGCATTTCTAAGGGGGCTCAGCATCACCGCTTTTAATGTGTTAGCATGCTGTTTGCATCTGCGTCATTCAAATTTGGCTTGTATGAGGTGGGCTACTGAGCAATGAGGGTCGGATCCAGGAAAGCGGCATGCTGAGGCAACATCCTTTAACCAGTCATCGTGTAAAACACATCTTCATGTCCCAGCACGTATGCTCGACTTAACTGATCAGAAAGAAAGGGTGCTGGTAATCTAGGATGCTGCTCACAACAAGCCATGACAAAATGAAAAGCACCATGATTTTAATTGGTCATGCCGCAGCGTGCCTTCTCCATGCCTAATGCTGATGTCTCCAGGACTAGGTGTATAAAAACCATTAGGGAGTGTCGCAGCTGGCGATGCGTTTCGGACAAGTGTTGTTGAAAGGACCAATGCCTGCCGACGCATCACAACTCCCCCCCGCCAGTGTGGCATCGGAGAATTTTGTTTCCGTCCAAGTTGCTGGATGTGGCCGTAATGGTGCCAGTGTAGCCTGCGTCGCATGTGCAGCCCGCAGGCACCTGGGCAGCAGCAAGTAGCCTACAAAACTCAATGGGAGCAACACAGCAGGACTTGCTTGCGGAATGGGCGAGATTGCACGCACCCATTCGGGCCTTCTTCAACAGTGTCAAAGCTTAGAGGTTCATATGAGCCGCAGCAAAACCCCTGTGGCTCAATTCACACACGGAATGGAAATTCATGTTAACGTGATGTATGTTCGGAAAAACATGGATGGCGACGTCATCCTTAATGTTAACACCCGATTCAGGGGCACTGGAATAACTCAAAGTTGTTTTCCCTATTCTGGTTTGCTGTCATTGTTTGGGGGGACCAGAATAACTGAAAGTTTTTTTTGCCCGGGGGAAAAATCCAAATATATATGTATATATATATATATTAATATATATATATATATCCACAAAACAGTTTCAAAAAAAAAAAACATCTCCCCCCCCAAACAATCACAGAAAATAAACTGTCAGTTGCTTTACTCAACAGCACTCCCCTTCCAATTGGTCGCCCACTTGCTTAAAAGCATTCCCCTTTTAATGGTTGCTCAAACACAAAACCCAAAGCCAGCTGAAACCTCTGGAATTGAAAACCATCCCCAGCCCTGAAGCTGCAAACTCTTTATTAAACCGTGTTTAAAACATGAAAAAACAAATCAGGACAAGGGTACCCCTCACAGACTCCACTGAACCACAACAATGGCATTCTTTAGGGGGACCACATTTGTTGCAAGCCCCCAGCCCCCTCCAGACAATAAACTGTCAGTTGATTTACTCAAAAGCATTCCCCTTTCAATTCGTGGCCCACTTACTTAAAAGCACTCCCCTTTCAATTGGACGCCCACTTGCTTAAAAGCATTCCCCTTTTAATTGGTTGCTCAAACACAAAACCTAAAGCTGGCTGAAGCCTCTGAAATTTGAAAACCATCCCCAGCCCTGAAACTGCAAACTCTTTATTAAACCGTGTTTAAAACATGAAAAAACAATCAGGACAAAGGTACCCCTCACAGACTCCACTGAACCACAAGAATGGCATTCTTTAGGGGGACCACATTTGTTGCAAGCCCCCAGCCCCCTCCAGAAAATAGACTGTCAGTTGCTTTACTCAAAAGCATTCTCCTTTGAATTGGTGGCCCACTTACTTAAAAGCACTCCCCTTCCAATTGGTCGCCCACCCACTTGCTTAAAAGCATTCCCCTTTTAATTGGTTGCTCAAACACAAAACCCAAAGCTAGCTGAAACCTCTGAAATTTGAAAACCATCCCCAGCCCTGAAACTGCAAACTCTTTATTAAACCGTGTTAAAACATGAAAAAAAACAATCAGGACAAGGGTACCCCTCACAGACTCCACTGAACCACAACAATGGCATTCTTTAGGGGGACCACATTTGTTGCAAGCCCCCAGCCCCCTCCAGACAATAAAATGTCAGTTGCTTTACTCAAAAGCATTCCCCTTTGAATTGGTGGCCCACTTACTTAAAAGCACTCCCCTTTCAATTGGTCGCCCACTTGCCTAAAAGAATTCCCCTTTTAATTGGTTGCTCAAACACAAAACCTAAAGCTGGCTGAAGCCTCTGAAATTTGAAAACCATCCCCAGCCCTGAAACTGCAAACTCTTTATTAAACCGTGTTTAAAACATGAAAAAAACAATCAGGACAAGGGTACCCCTCACAGACTCCACTGAACCACAACAATGGCATTCTTTAGGGGGACCACATTTGTTGCAAGCCCCAGCCCCCTCCAGAAAATAAACTGTCAGTTGCTTTACTCAAAAGCATTTCCCTTTCAATTGGTGGCCCACTTACTTAAAAGCACTCCCCTTTCAATTGGTCGCCCACTTGCTTAAAAGCATTCCCTAAAGTAGAATTGCAAAAAGGAAGTGGCCGCAATACTAAAGTAGAATTGCAAAAAGGAAGTGGCTGCAATACTAAGGTAGAATTGTGCAATACTAAAGTAGAATTGCAAAAGGAAGTGGCTGCAATACTAAATTAGAATTGCAAAAAGGAAGTGGCCGCAATACTAAAGTAGAATTGGGCCCCAAAATCCTCCATTGTTTGGACGTCCCAACAGTGAGCCTGCGTTGTTCCAGCGCCTCCATTGTTCAGGAGGGAGAGGGGGGGGGGGCCTTTATTAATCAAGTGCCAACATTATCCCAAATTTGTTGCTCACATGGAAATGGGAAGCAATTGAACCGGTCGGTTGTCTTAAATTATGTTGCCAACAATAATAACTACCATTTTCACCTACATTGATTCAATCATAGTCTGCTATAGATGACACTCTACGCAGTGAAGGCACGATTGCCGTTTGCTGGAAACTGAGTGTACAGCTATTGCATCTCCAAGTCACAGTAGACATGAGCGATGCATGACCGCAAACAGCGACCAAGGCACGTTGGCGCCATTGGAGTTGGCAGGACATGCCACCTCGGACCATCTTCATTACACAAAGTGCATGGCATTCGTGGCCTGCACCTTGACTTGCAACTCTGGCTCCGGAACAGCAACGACCACAATAACGGCCACAATCATGGCCACCAACACCAGCAACATCACAAGAACCACAAGAACCCACAAAAACCACAACGGCCGGACGTCGCGCAAATGCGCGACTGTCGTGAGTGCGTTTCGGCGTAATGTGCGATTGCACTGGCTTCTTCCATGCTTTCAGGGCTTTCGGTACTGGTTCTAAGGCCTCAAAACCTTCTGACGGATATGGGCATCTTCCGTCGGAAACGACTAAATCGCTTGGGAGGCGCTGTTGTTGCGCGACTTCTACAAAATGCAGGGCTTTTCCGAGAAGCTATCAAGGTCCGAAGGGTGTCTCGCAAAGAGCCACTTTTCTTTGGCGCCGGATCTACATGTGTTCTCTGCCTGGCGGAAGCACCTGGCAGGCGCACTTGACATTTCCCAACCAATGCTTCCGCCAACCGAACGCACCTGGTGGGCATGCTTGCTATTGCCGGACCACCGAACGCGCGTGGCGGGCGCGCTTAACATCTCCCGCCTGCCTTGTCCGCCTAGCGAACGCACCTGGCAGGCGCGGTTTGCGTTGCTGGACCCGTGTTCTCCGCCTGCTAAGTGCACCTGGCGGGTGTGGTCAACGTTGCCGAACGCACCTGGTGGGCGTGCTTAACATTGCTGGACCTGTTCCCTCTGTCTACTGAAGGCACCTGGCGGGTGCGCTTAACATTGCTGCCTGCTCGCACCTGTGCAGTCGAAACAATGTTGTTCACAGAACTCACACAAAACACTGAAAATACGATGAACCATGCAGTCGTGCCATTGCAAGTATTTATATTCAAACATACGCGGCGGGCGCCGGCATTCCATTACATTACATTGCATTACATTGCATTGCATTCCATTCCATTCCATTGCATTCCATTGCATTCCAGTCCATTCCAGTGCATTCCATTTCATACATACACACATACATACAACGAACAACAAACAACGAACGGACCAACAAACAAACAAGCAAATGATCAATCAATCAACCAACAAAAAATACAATCAGATCGATCAAGTCAACCAAACAATCAAACCAATCAAACACATCAAACCAATCAAATCTAAATCAATCAGCTCAATCAAATCAAATCAATCAAATCAATCAAACACATCAAACCAATCAAATCAATAAAATCATATCAATCAAATCAATCGAATCAATCGAAACAATCAAATCAATCAATTCAAATCAATTCAATCAAACAATCAAATCAAATCAATCAATCAAGCAAGCAAGCAAGCAAGCAAGCAAGCAAGCAAACAAACAATCAATCAATCAATCAATCAATCAATCAATCAATCAATCAATCAATCAATCAATCAATCAAATCACAACAATCAGATCAATTAAATCAATCAAATCAAATCAAATCAACCAACCAACCAAACAAGAAAGCAAACAAGCAATCAATCGAACAACAAGCAAGAGGGCTGACAAAAATCAAATGGTCACTTCCCTTCACGTGCACACACATTCACATAACGCATCATCATCATCATCAGCATCATCATCAGCCGCAGCATCACCATTATCATCATCATCATCATCATCATCATCATCATCATCATCATCATCATCATCATCATCAGCAGCATCAACGCATTTTACGGCTCAATTCCGGCCAGCCAGCTCTGCCAGCGCGCATAAGGCTTGCTACCAACCTGTAAAATCCCCCCCCCCCCCAATTCGCTGTGTCCATGAGAAACAGCTGCTTGCTCGATCGACGCCCCGTGGTGCATCGCCGCGCGGCTGCATTGCATTTGCCGTCGTGGAAGGGATCGCCCTTCCTTGGCAATGAAACTTGCAAGAAGGTGGAGCTCTCAGGAACTTTCGGGTTGCAATACTTCAAATCTAAGGGTGCCATTTTACGGAGTTTCCACGCGGCAAAAAGGCTCCCTTGCCCTGGCCATGTTACTTTCAAAGGAGAGGGAAACACAGGTTTCACAAAGAAAGGAGAAACCGGGACCTTAGTCTTACCGAAACCCTTCGTGGCTACGACCTCTCCCTGAACCTTACCCCGGGGGCAACCAAAGCGCAATGCAATGCGCTCCTTTTTCTTGAGCCAAACGTCATGACAAGCTTCAACTACTGTCATGACATGCGGGCGCTCATGTGGCCTCTGGGAACCTAAATGTCGCCATAATAATTGACTCATTCTTGTCAACAAAAGAAGCATCCACCCCAGGCCTGTGCACTTCAAACATGTCCAAATGCTCGGACTGGCTTCCCGGCGAACCTGCAGTATCTGTGGCCATCATTGGTAGAGACTTTTAGTTGGCAATGTGCCATGTTTCCACCTGAGCTTTCATTATTCTGTCATTTTCTACTATGGCATTATTCAGCCTTCCGCGACCCTTTCGTGAAGCTTCCGCGGAGCCTATCTTGGTTACTGTTGCTTCCGCGGACATAGTTTTGCTGGTTTGGATTTGGAGTCTCAACATATTATCCGACACGTAAACCTTCCGCGCAGCTTCCGCGAGGCAAAGAGCTCGCCTGGCTGTGGCAAAAAACATTCCCGCCAGAACATGCTACCGCCAAGCTTCTTCACGGCGATCGATCCTTCGTAGCCAGCGTTGCACGTGCAGCCAGCAGGAATACTGGCGCCTGGCACAAGTCAAACAGTGACAATAAGAGCCCAAGTGAGCGGCTCCAAGGCAAACCCCATGCACAAACACAGTGGAGTTCGACATACACGCAATATGCAAAGCCTTGATGTCAGGGGGAGGAAGGCTTGTGAGGGCAGGAACTAAGAAGTGAAAAGTCATTGAGAAGAGGAACATTAGCATGCCCAAGCGGCCAGGAACACGATATCAGCCTTGATAAAATACAACTCACAAGCTTCATGCGGATTGCGCGATCTTGTAATGCGCAACAAGGTGCAAAGCATGGGTAAACACGGTCCATCCAACCCAAACAGGCAACTAGCTCAGTCATGCCAATGAAGGATATGCGGGGCGGCTATGGTCACGCAATATCAAGGCGTGTTGCGGTCGGGCATTCGACTCGATTCTGAACCATCTCAAAGCAAATGAAGAGGCTGTGAAGAGTCCGTCCGAAAGACTGCTAAGCAAATCCGGCACCAACTGTGGAGAAAACGTATGAGGTCAAGAACTCATTTGCATGGGCGATTTATTAAAGTTTCCAGGGAAAAAGAAAGGAAATTACATGACCCAATTTACCTTTGCAACTCTTGATCTCTCTCTCTCTCTCTTGACGGTTCCGGTGCCTGTGGAGCCTGCGGGGCACGCCACCGCCTTGCACTCCCCCTCATAGTACGGGTTCGAGTCGTCGCCAGTGATGGTGCCCGAATAGCCTGGCGCGTTCTAAGCCCCTCTCCAGAATACAGAATCTTCGGGTGGAACATGGTGGAACACTGAAAGGGCATGAAGTACCGTCGCAGCAGTCTCTGACTGCTTCTGGAGTGGTGACAGGTAGTCCCTACACAGTCTGCGTGTGCCGTCCGTGTCTGTGTGTCTTGTCTGGGTTGATGTTTCAAGTGATTTGACTTCTCGCTGCCTCCGACTTCGACACACCTGCAACATCCCACAAATAGCCGGTCAATCCACCGGGTCTGGAACACTGACAGGCTGTTGTAACTAGTCCAACTACAGCGAGTCAACAAATCCTGCGCACAGCGTCAACTGCTAAGTCCAACTAATGTGTTAGCTCACCCTCATCAATATTGATGTGGATCGCAACGTACATTTATCTGGAATGCTTGCCTATCTTGCCTCAACTTGAAGAGGCACCCCTCGCCTGCATTGCACTCGCAGCCCCCGGGCACAGTAGTGCCCGTAGTGTGGGCCGGGCAGGCCACTGGCGTGCAGGAGCCCTCAAAGAAGGGATCCGCCTGAGCCGAGATGGAAGGAAACCGACAGGGTCTTGAACCGGTCTCTGCTCTCCTTGAAAAGGTACTCGGTACTCATGTGTCTTGCCTTAAAGAAAAACATCATGATTGCAACGAAGCCCAGTTCGTGGTTGCCAGCTCAGAAAACATAGCCCGGAGAAGGCTATGCCAAAAGCTCAGGGGGGGCGCAGTTTGCAACGCTAAGCCAAGAAATGCCTTAAGCCGAATAAGTAAACAAGATCCTTCACACAGTGTCTGGCAACAAACTGAGTCACGCAGCAAACTAGGTACACAAATGAGCCAAATACTCATCATGTGCCAAGGGACATGCTATGTTGCTGAGCAACCCCCATTTCCCAAGGGTGCTTTGGTGTTAATTTCGACCTTCGCAAGTCGCAGTGATCCAGTACCTGAGTAATTCTGTATCATTCCTTATCCATCTCTTTCTTTACTGCTCCAATTCTGGTAAAGGCGAGGGGCTGAGGTGGCCGTGATGGTGCCCGAGTAACCTGACGCATTGCAACGTGAGCCGTTCCATGAATGCATTGCATGCGTTCGGGACTCCTTCGGGACTCCTTCGGGACTCCTTCGATGCATTTCAAGAGTTCGGGCTTTGGGCCACCCTTTGGGCCTTGAGCTATGTGCCGCCTTCCAGGTGCCTGAGCTCCAAAGGAGCTAGAGCAACTCAAAGGAGTGGCACATACACACACAAGCATTGATCGCCTGTTGGGTTGGCCAAAGGTAGCTGAGCAAACTGCAGTAGAGAGAGCCTGAACGTGAAAAGTAACGGACCAATACAATTAGCTAGCCAACGGGAAGGGAACTTTAAATTTAATGTAACCATATCTCACAAAGTGCTTGATTTGAACTCGGGGCACTGCTGGTCTGGAAGTGCCCGGTTTCAGCCCATCTGTGCTGCCCGGCCATCTTTGCATTTGCAGCCGCTGGGAACGTCCGTTCCTGTGGCTTTCCGACTTTGCACAACTCACTTGAAGCAAGAGTCGTGAGGGATGGCTTGGACCATTGTGTTGAATCTGCCTACGCCTATCCGCTTTTGTCGGCATCGAATTTACTCTTGATTCTGATGTCCGTTTCAACATGTGTTGCAGACTTGACAAAACATGGCACCGAAACGACGCTCGGTCCTGTGGAGTGCGCTGGGCATGCTACTGCCGCACAAGACCCAGAGTAGAACGGGGAAGATGTAGCCTGTAGTCGGCCATCACTTTGCACAGCTCTCTCCGCTGGTCATGTTTTGCAAAATCTTACATTCTTGCTCAGCGGCATTCCGAACATAGCCCCTTTTTGTCTGGCGCCTTCTCCTCTTGAAAGGGAGAAAGAACCATGCTTTTCAGGAGCCCAGACCGTTGTTCCTGCCAATATTGCAAACGATGAAACATCTGCTAGCTGAACTACTAATTCTTGAGTAGCGTAGCTGTTTGCCTGTTCTTGCCAGCTATTCCAAATATATGCACTCAACAATCGTGTTTTCCACCTTCTGTGGGTCCAATTGCTAGGTTTCCTGCCCAAATCAATCTCCTGCACCTGGCACGATTGCCTGTTGTTGGCCGGCTTGGCATATTGACATCTCTTTGAAACCATGTGCTTCAACATCTCCAGCCAGCCCTGCAGCGTTAAGTCGCTGTCACGAATCAAGTTCTGGGGATTGCCAGAAGCTTTCTGACTCAAAGCATTGTCAGAGCACCGCCCTCTGGCTGCCCAGCAGCCGCTGAAATTGTGCCCGAATACCTCGCGGCCACGAACAGCGAGCATGCTGAGCGTCTGTCAGATCGCAGAGATTCCTAACATGGGTCTTGCTGTGGTTTTCTGAGGGAGAGGTTCACTGTCATGGACGGACCAAGTTCTCTCTGGCCTTGTAAGGAAGAAAGCTGCTTACCTTCCCTTCCATCTTACCTAGATTCAGAGCAGACTCATCTTTGTTGAGAGGGGGCCAACACATGAACTATTTGTCAATGGCCTGGCGGTCAACCGCTCACATCTCAACCTGGTAGGCATCTTCTAATAAAAGCTAAAACAGCCTCAGAGAAGCCTACCCTCACCGCCCACCGCCCTCACCGCCCTCACCGCCCTCACCGCCCTCCGCCCTCACCTCCCTCACCGCCCTCACCTCCCGCTTTCTGCCGGCAAAGTGACCCTGCTTTGCAGCTGCAGCCGCTGGCCACGCTGGTGCCGGCAGAGTTGGCCGGGCACGCCACGTTCGCGCAGCTGCCCGTGTGGTGAGGAGACCTTCAAAGGCGATGTCAACAAGGAGCTACACACGCAATGCCCGGGTGTTTGTTGGTTTCATCTATGGCGGTTCAATTCGCGCACGTGCATACTGATCCAACATGACTTCACCGTTCTTGCTGTAGATTCGGTCACCAGTCAGGTTTTGCTTGTATTGCCGACGGCGGCGCTTCTTCCTGGCTTCTGTCGCATGTTGTCGCAGCTGGCCATCAGCTCACGATGCATGTCATGTCAAATTGTATTTGAGAAATTACTGGCTCAGCAAAGCAAAGGAATCTGGTGAAATGCTGAATGCCTAATGGGGCTGCTCAAACTTCGGCCTTAAAGCATGAGAAAGCCCGTCTAGAGCATGTGCTGGACTGTTCCCTCTCATTAGACCTCGCAGGGTTTGGCCTTGATTATCTGCTGTAGCTGCAAACTCCTCAGTGACACAGCTTCAGATTGTGCAAAAATACTGGGGAACAAATCAACTAGTGAGGCAATGCCTGCAAAACAGCATGCTGCCTATCAAATAAGGACAATTCATGCGTCCATGCGACACGGAGGCAAGGCTGATTATGTGTGTGTGTGTTTTGTTTTTTGCTTCTTTTCCGAGATGTATCAGACTGCAGACTTCTGAACCTCAGGCCCCCGCCCTCCACAGGCATTGCAGCCGTTGCAGCTGCAGGTGTAGTCTGCGAGAGAATGAGGTAACGTATGCCAAAATGTGTTTGTCAGCTGCGTCACTTGGCGCCGCAATGCTACATCGTACTAACCCCAAACAAATCGCCTGGCACAGCTGGTCCTCAGCTTCAAGGTATCCCATTGAATCCCATCAAGTGATTCAACCTCCGCCATTTGTGCCGTCCGCGCCCTCTACTTATTCCTTTTTGGCAGCTGAGTGGTGCTCTGAGTCTGTTTTGCAGCGTTTTCACCAACGTTCAGGGCCAAACGGCAGGACCGCATGCCCGTGCTCAAGGGCTTCTTCAAAAAGCTGGCAATCCGGTTCAACCATCTCCTCTCTCTGACTCCCTCGCCTTCCTTCGAGGCAGTGCCGCAGCCCCAAAAGTTTGCGGTATTGCACCACTTGGAGCAGAAGTCGTAGCTTTTGCCTCCGACCGTCTTGCCGTCCTGGCACTGGAACCTCAGAGAGGCGGTGACCGGCAGGCCCCAGGCCAAGCGAATGAGTTCTTGCCGGGATGTCTGGGGGCCCCACTGGGGGCCGCTGCCCTCTTGCCGCACCGCAAATCTCCAGAATGACATGCCAATGCTTGTTCCGTGTTCCCATTGAAGCGGATCGAATCGGATTTCTGGGTGCCCGGACACAGTGCTCGTGGCGATGGTGCCGCTGAAGCCCGCTTTGCAGGTGCATCCGCTGGGGATGTCCTGAGCCGGCCACAGGAATCCGATGAAACCCACTGAGAGTTCCGTGCCTGAAATTAGAATCCAATCAGGTTCCGGGTGCAACTCAGTGGGCAAAACTGATACCACCAGACTCAAACGGAGTATCCAAAGTGTCCAACTATGCCAACACAAGTCAAGCCCGATACAGGGCAGGAAAGCAGTACGCACATCATCTCGAGCTTGCCAATCTGGTGCAACCATACACTAGGATGTCATCACAATGATGGTTTGGCTGCCAACACCCGCAAAATCTCCAAGACATCCTGCTGATGTTGCTTCTTGCCCTGTGCGTTTGGTTTCCCATGCGTGCAACCTCGGGACAGGCCACCTGTCTGTGCTAGCGCTCCCAAAACCTCCAGTCATTGAATATAGCCCATTGCTTGGCGAGGAGAGAATCAGACATGCGCGAGGACAGCATGTTGCAGCCAACTATCCTGCATCCCGGCATCCCACCTGGACGCAAGTAAGCCCCGACTCCTCTGCGTAGAGGCCCCTATAAAGGGCCCATGAACAAATTATGGGATGTGGCGCAGGTCCTGGATGAGATGCCTGCCCACCAAAATTCTGGCAGGACAAGGCATTTCTGTCAAAAAGTCATCCAATGCCCGGCACGCAGGTATGCAGAAAGCGACACCCCACACGACGGCTATGCCGGCGTGGCACTGTGCCCGCGGAGTTTGCTGGGCACGCTACCGCCTCACAGGAGCCTGTGTAGAACGGGCTCGAGGAGCTCGCCTGCCAACACACCAGGCGCTGTTGGGAACCGCGGATTATACTACAAGCTTGGCAAAAGTGGGAAACCATGATGGAATGCCTCTTCCAAGAAGCACACCAGGATGATTAAAAGCCTGCGGCCTGCCCTGTTGGAAAAAGGCGCCCTTTGCCTAAAGTCTTGCGGTGCGCCAACTTTACTCAATCCGAGCCGGGTTTGAGCCCTCTGGGTCCCTCCAACTGTCAGTAACTGGGTGCCTGGATGGTGCCGGAGTACCCTGGCTTGCAAAGGCAGCCGCTAACCACGTTCAGGCCCTCCGAGTTGTCCGGGCATGCCACTGACGAGCAGGACCTTAAAGCTTCGCTCTCGTGAATGTTCAGAACTTGGTGCGGGTCCTTACTTGCTTGTATCTGAGGGATGCCCGCTGAATCGAACCCGGAACCGCGCAACCTGAACCGTGGAACCGAACCGTTCGCGAACCGAACCACGGCCCAGGACTCGTACCGTGCCATGGAAGACCGAACCCAGGAATACAAGAGGCCGGGGCGCTGAAGCGGAAGGTTGCTGAGCCGGAAGAGGACTCAAGCAGCGAGAGGTGTTTAATCGTATTCTGCGAGGCTCGCAAACGTCATACAACACTTGCCATACCTGCGGAGCGTCAAAAATTTCAAGAGAACATTATGTGGTATCTCTGCCGCAAAACGCAAGGCAGTTGGCACCAAATGCAAAAATTGCAAACTTGAAGAAGCGAAGAAATGGAAAGCTCAGTGCTGACGGAGCCTCTGAGCCAACCGAGCCAGCCGAGCCACACGATGTTGACTAGAACGCTCTGTGGCAAGATTGATGTTTTGTGTGCATAGTCGCAAATGCTGGCGGGACTTCTGTCCAACCCTGTTCAACACGAGATTCAGACAGTTTTCGCGCCCCATGATTTGAAGGGCCTCGCGCTGTAGCGTGGACGCAGCCCTGTGACACCTCCCCTGGCCGCTGTGCTCGCACTTGCCTTTTTCGGGTGTCTGAAACAGGAGAAGCACTTTTGCAAAAGTCGTGTCATCCTTCCCAGGGCAGGGCTGTCGGCAAATCGTTCCTCAGCCGTGGCCAGTTGGCGAAAATGGAGAAGAAGATGGTGGGCGCCGGCGCTGCTGCTGTTTCTGCCGCTGTTGTTGC